AATTTTATAAATTTATCATGAAATTTATAATACACTTTTATGATAAGTTTAAAAAATTATTATTTGTGAATTTTACACAATGTAAATTTGAAAAATTATTGTTTCTGAATTTTACACAATGTAAATTAAAAAAATTATTATTTGTGAATTTAACACAACATAAATTTAAAAAATTATTATTTCTGAATTTTACATAATGTAAATTTAAAAAATTATTATTCGTCAATTTAACACAATATAAATTTAAAAAATTATTATTCGTCAATTTTACACAATATAAATTTAAAAAATTCATATCTGTAAATTATTATTTGTAAACTTCATACCATAAATGCACTTTTATGGTACTCTGATATTACCGAATCCTATTAGACAATTTTCCATTTCATTCATAATTTAATAATAATATAATCCAATTAATACTGCAGCACGCCACCGTTTTTTATCGCAGATCTAATTAACAGCAATTCCAAAGTGAAAATAGTTTCTGTAAAGTTTAACAGAATAAAGTCTATAACCATCGACACGAGCGGAAGGTGAATCTGGTTAAAGGGGATAAAGTTCCTAGTGACAAAGTAATCCTTCTCGAGACGTGTTTGCGGGAAGCTTGAATAATCTAATTTCGTAACACGTTCCATGAACGAACGCGTAGGATAATTTTACATAAGAATCTTATCGGAGGAAAATCGATTCTGTACATCGCTCTAGAGCGAAGCTGGACAACTTTATGCCCGTAGGGCAGTTATTCGTTTGATCCGGAAGACGGTTTACCATAGGAAGCTAAACCACGTCTTATAAAGCCATACTGTGTTACAAAGTTCTTATAATTCGGTATTGTAAAAAGAAGTTTAGCAGCAGAATATTAGTAGCAGAAAAGTTAACCTCCTGTTTCTACTTTGACGAGTCTGACTTATGACGCATTCGTACTTCGTGATCAAATTAACATGTTGATTCGAGTAAAATTGGAGTTCAAGTCTGATTTTCGTAGTCGTACAATTTTATAAATAATTTTCATAGTCAACGATTGTATTATGTCAGATTGACGTAATATTTAAAATTTTTTTGTCTGTTTTAATATTGCAGGTGTGATTAGTTCCTGACAAATAGATCATAGGGCAAGGGGTTAATGACTGTATTTAATGTTACTGTTTCTGAATTCTATGTATTACTTTGTCAGAAGCAATCGAATGCACTTGTGAATTAAAGAAGATACGCAAAATCTGCTCTTTGTTCGGTTCTCGATTTTTAAAGTGATTCATGTGTCAAATATTAGTTTAGTTTATTTTATTGATTTTCATCCTTAAAGGCTCACGTTGAAAGTATCATGCTGAACATATGTATGTCTGGTTCCTGAGATACAAGGCTAACTTCCAAATTGGAACTATTAAGAAAATGTGGAATTATGATCACATTGTGACTCTAAACTCTAGCCGAATGAGAAACAATCAGGATTTCTTGAGTAATAGATTTCCTTCATGAAATATGAGTTAGCCAATCATCCTCAGATTCGACTATCAACTCCACACAGCCCAACCCCTATCACAATCAGTAAAAGATTCCTGGCATTCTAGTGTCAACCCTCATAGCACTTTTTCGGAAACAAAAATGCATCTGGGTACTATACAAAAACCTGAGTTTGCCGATCACCCTCACATCGGACTTCCAATCCCAAAAACCCCTAATCGATAAAAGCTAGCCATTTATACGTGTAACCTTCCTGAACCTTTTCGAAACGCAAAAATACACTCATTCAGACATTCAGTAAGATTATTCAAGTTAGTTAACTATTCTTCGATTATACTCTCATCTCCCAAACCTCTCATCCACAGTTCCTCTTCGACAGAGGAAACCAGTTTCAGGCATGAGATGAATTTTCATGTCTCAACAGATTTTGGGAGATGTGGCGTGAATTGAAGACACAACTCTTAACGATATGTATAGTATGCACCGGCTGTACGTTAGTGAGTGAATGTGTGGATGGATGAGTCCGTCTATGTGGATAGATGTGACCGTCTATGTGGATAGATGTGTCCATGTGTGTGCATATATGTGTCCGTGTGTATGGATGGCTATATCCGCGTGTGTAGATGGACGTGTCCATGCACGTGGGTGGATGAATGTGTGTGCATCGTGATCGCACCGAAGCCACAAGGATGTCCCAAGAGTCTAATCCTCAAGCAAGGGGTAGCGTGTCCAATAACGGTCTCTTTGTTTAGTCAACACGGTCAGAAATGCAATTCCGTTCCAACGGGACCGTAGGTTGTGGCATAGTAGCTCATAAAGATGTTGTGCTTCGTTTCACTCGGTTTAGTCGAGACAAAGGACTGGCAGAGGCTGTCTTTAACTTCCGGCCAACTCTGTCGCAAAGGGTTGAAACGTTCGATCGATGCGTCCCTCGCGACAGCTTTGTAATTGCTTAATAGGAACGAACAGTTCCCCCTTCTTGTCTTTGCTCTTTCTCTTTATGTTCTCCGTCTGTTTGCTGTTGCTGCTTTGTTTTCTTTATCATTTGTACTTGAGTCTACCATTTCTTTCTCTGCAGCAACGGTTGTATGGGTAGATGCCGGTTTTATATGCAACATTCTGGCGATGGAAAAGAATCTTTCGTGTTGAACTGGAAAATTTGTAAAGAAATGCGAAGTTCGGGAAATATAAAGGGTGAAATTTTAGAGGGGATGTTAGGTTGATTTTTGACGCTTTTTTGGAATTTTGGTAGATGTTATAGGTCATTTTGTTCGTTAGGGGTGTTTGAAGGAGATTATTAGTTTTTGAGATTTTTACAAATTATTATATTTTTGAACTCGGAATATATGGAGTTTAACATATGTATGAGGTAGTCGCAAGCATAGGTTGCGACTAGTATTCAGCATACTGGGCTGAGTACAAGGGGTGTGTATTTATATATGACGTGTAATTTATATAAATATAATTTGAATAATTCGAGGGTTTGGAGATTCAGGAATATGAAAATTAGGAAATTTCAAAATTTAGAGGTTTTGGAAAACTTGAGGATTAAAATAACTATTTAGGTAACTGGAATTTCGAAGATTTAGTGATTTGCTTATTTAGAATTTTGGAGAAGGGTGAATACAAACATTTGGAACCTTAATAATTTGGAAATTCAGAAATTTGGAAATTTGGAAATTTGGAAATTTGGAAATTTGGAAATTTAGAAATTTAGCAGTTAGCGAAATTTGAAAACCTGTGAGTTAATATATTCAGAAAAATGTAATTTCGACGATTTAGTATATCGGTGATTTGGAAATTTGAAAATTAGGTATTTGAAAACTTGAAAATTTGAAAAATGAGGAATGTAGAAACTTAGAACCTTAATAATTGGAAAATTAAAAAATATGAAATCCCGCAAATTTTTAACTTCAGAAATTTGGAGATTAGGGAAATCTAAACTTGAGAGTTTAGGTATCTGAGAAATTGAAATTTTGAGAATTTAGTGATTTAGTGATTTGCCAATATGAAAATTTGGAAATTTTGAAAGTATACAAATTTGAAAATTAAATTTTCAGAAATATAAAAACTTTATAAATGTTTAAAAACCTCGAATTGGAAGAATTTAGCGATTTGCTGATTTGAAAGTTGTGAAACTTACATATTGACTATTTGGAAATCTCAAAATATTTGAAAATTTCCAACTTTGAAGATTTCAAAATTGTTAAACTTATTAAGGTGCCTAAAATATTCTACATTATTCTCAAAGATTAAAATTATTATCACTCACTTTAAATAAGATGTATTTTCTTTAATTTGTAATAACACAATCACCCCCAGCTAATCGATATAAAGCAGAGATTCGTGAAACTTCAATAAAAGGACTTTGATAATAAACGTAACGCGAACAGAGATAAAAGATGCTTAAGACAGGAGAAAGTCAATGAAATTAACCCATTTCCAACAACGATCTAATATTTCATAAAATGTCATATCGGAAGTTTGATCTTCCTGGGGTTTTAGTTGCCTATTGTAAGAACATCTAATCCTCGATGATAGCCATTTAGGTTTTAATACTTTGATCCGTGTTTCTTGTATTTTATTACTTTTCTACGTTTCATTTTATAATCCTAATAAGATTATTAACTGACAATGAGTCATATTTGAAAGTTTTGTTTAATACATGTTGCAAAATTATTAATTATTTTTTATCAACTTGAGCAATTTATTATTATTATTATTATTATTATGAGCATTATGATCGTTTAGTAATATTATTGCTATGAGAAGTTTTAGTATTTTAAATTTATATTTTGGGAAAATTTTATACGTATTTCGTATTAGTTTGAAAAATTTCAGTGCGTAAAATTTGTATTTTGAGAAGTTTTAATATTTAAAAATATTTTGGAAAATTTTAATATTAAAAATTCTTGTTCTGACAAATTTTAATATTAAAGCTTCTTGTTCCAGCATATTTTATTATTAAAACTTCTTGTTCTGACAAATTTTAATATTAAAATTTTTACTTTAGGTTGTTTTGATGTGTGAAATATTTTTGAATGCTTCAGTTTTTAAAATTTCTATTTTGGAGCTTCAAATATTTAAAATTATCACCTTAGAAATGTTTAATACTTCAATTTTCAGTTTTAGAAGATTTTAATATTTAATCTTTTCACTTTAGAATGCCTTAATCTATGAAATATTTATTTTTGAAACCTTTGGCGTTTAAAATTCTGGGACCGCAATAATTTAAAATTACTATTTTATAAATTTTCTGTTTTAAGAAGTTTTAATATTAACAAATTGTTATTTGGATAATATGTAGATATATAAAATGTTTATTTTACTTACTCTTTCAATTTCATCTTTAAATCTATTTAGAGTCTCACTGTCTGTCTCACTGTCTCAACATTAGAAGCTCTCAAAAATTTCCTTCATTTACATTTCCTGCAAATAATAACTAATTATAACTGTAATTATTTTAATCTGCAACACTGGTCATGTCCACCGTGTTTAAAAAAAAATTTAATTTGCGCGTTCAAAATATTAAACAGCGGCGGTGCAACCAAAGAGAAGGAGCTTCTTCAACAAGAAAAGGAGAAGTTAACGAGCGAGGTGGACACCCTGAAACAACGTCTAAAAAACATGGCGTTATACACGGAGGAGTTAGAGAAGCGAAACAGCGTTTTCGGTCATCAAATAGAAGAGATGCAGGAGAATCTGGACACCCAACTGAGCGAGATCTCGAAAGAACGACGAGGAAAGCAAATGGCGGAGGATGAGGTACAACATTTGCAAGAGGAGCTTGTTGCAAGGACGGATGATCTCCAAGTAAGGGATCTTGGTGTTGTGTAATTTCTAACCACATTGCATAGTTTCGTGGTCGCAGTTGTGTGTATCAAACAGTGTTTCCTACAGAAACTGTTATCCCCAAAAGACGAATTAACACCGGAGCGATTAGCGTGGAATATGTAGCTGGTTTCGTAGATAAATTGGGAAAATAAATAAATAAATTGGGGATTATATATTGGTAGAGAGTTTTGGTTGTTATGTACAGTGGTTGTTGGAAGGAATAACGAAGGGGTTGTGGTTTTGGTTGTTGAGAGTGACTTAAGGGTAGAAGGGATGTAAATATTTCTTGATTTAAAATGTGAAGAGACGTACAGGGTGTTTAACTTAAAATAATCATCTAAATAATTTTTATTATTGTCAGATGGAAAATAAATAGAAGTAGCTTTTATCGTTTCAGGACATATCTAATGACCATAAAAAGGAATAAAATAACTTTATATTTATATGAATATTACACTTTCTATTTTGCTATTCTACTATTCTGTTTTATAATTTTACCATTTCATTATTTTAATATTTTCGTATCCTATTCTCCTATCACTATCATACAGTTTAACTATTCTAATATTTTAAGCTACCCTTGTTCCTCTCTCTTCTATTTTATCTACAAGCACGGTTGTGCTTTCAGTCCTATCAGTTTTAAGCCCTCTTTGATGTTCCGAAATTGTTATCACCAAAGTATGAAGTTCCTTTTATGTATCTTCGTAAGTCGTAAAATAAACTGTGGTACCGTTGTAAATCACTGTTGAGCAGTAACATACATAAAGTTTTCACTGTAACACTGACAAGGATCATTAATTATATAGAGTCGTAACGAAAACGACAGAAGTTCTAAAATGCTCTACAACGTTACAGGTGCTTCACGAAAGTTTTCATCACTGTCACTTTGTACACGTAACTAAATCTGACGAAATCTGTAGTTTTCATCCTTTTACGTGCATCCTTTCACTACATCACACCACGACACTACAAATTTTCAGAATCTTTCACGTTTTCTGTAAAATTAAGAGGCTTGTTCAAATTGTAATATTTGTTAGTTACTAACATAACTACCACTGTACATAACATTATTAACACATGTTAATATCTTGTATTTCCTTTGTTTTGGTCACAGCGTGCTCCGTATACATCATATGCTTTATATCTTCATTTTCCCAAATATTTGCAATTCTTTTCAACTCAGATAATGTTGAAGAGTTGTAAACTAGTCTTTTGAGCAGGCAGACATTTTCTATGGCATTCAAATTTCACCTGACGCGCTATCGATACTCGAGCCTATCGATACGTAAACGCTCGCACGGCCCTTAATCGCTCATCACCCACACAATTTATTATCATGATAGTAACAAATTGCAGTGTATATATCGTTATCAACGTATTTAGTAATAATTTTGCTTGACCTAAGACAATTTTCCATGTATGACATGTTATAGCCACAAAGTGAAATTTTCGTATATCCTCATTCGATGACCAGGGTTGTTCTTTCAAAAATTCTTGAATTCTATCAAATAAATGTTCAACTTGCCTGGCTATTTCAAAGTTCGAACTTTTATGTTGACTCGTATCCGACAAGAAAGTCACAAGGTTCGCACTTAAAACTTTCGTTCGCGGCTTCTTTCTCAGGCTTTTTCCAAGCGAAAATCAAACAAATCGTATCTTCTCCGGCTGCCGTGTCTTGCAACCTCAAAATTTACGTGAAAGTTTAACAAGTTTCGCGACAGGTAACAGAAACGAAACGACTTTGCTCGGTCGGGACAGTAAGTGCTATCTAACAACTTGAAGAAACTGCATTTCACTGTTTCTCCGCGTTCGAGAGCAAAACTTCCTTCCAATGTTATAGATATTCTTTTGTTTGATATACAGTGGGCACTCGTTATATTGCCAGATTAGACATTTTTCTATTTTATTACAGGCTTTTACTTGTAATTGGGATGATAGAGCAAAGTTTTGTTTAGTGTGGAATTTAGGAATTTTTTAATTTGGGAGAAGCAATATTCGAGGATCTGAAAATTAGAGAATTGAAGAATTTGAAAATATGAAAATTAAGGGACCTTGAAATTTGCAAACTTCATATATTAATTTGAAATTGTGTAAATTCAATACTTTAGTAACTTGAAGATTTAGAAATTTGGGGACTTGGTAATTTGCAAGTTCAAAAATTTAATAATTTCGAAACTCAACAACTTGGAGACATGAGATGCTTGAAAAATTGAAACTCTTCAATTAAAAAATGTGAGAAGTTTTAGTTTGATGTGTATCAACTTCAATTTTAATTAATCTTTACCTTCAATAATAATTAATTTTATTTAATTTAATTTTGATTTTACATAGGCTGCGAATGCATCGCTTGAAGCAGCTGCAGAGAATACAGCGAAACTGGAGGCTACACTGAAAGAGTATAAAACATCCAACGAGAAGATGCAGAAGGAGATCAACAAGCTAACTGTGAAGAAGACAAACCTACAAGCTGATTTTGAAAACGCGAACGTTCAAATAGAAAATTGTGAAAAGGATATTGCAACGAAGGAGAAACAACTGAAGGAAATGAAACTGACGATGCATAGGTAATTACTGACATCTTAATGAGTGTACATATGATCGATTCAAAGTTTTTTAATAAAATTCAAATTTAATTTAAAGAATTACTATAACCTTATTTGGTTTTTCTTGTAAATACTCAGTATTAAGAGTTAAGCTGCTTAATATTTGAGTTACAACTTGCATCCGCCATATTTGTTCTGTATACTTCTTTAGCAACGGTGATGCTCTTCTCTTCTTTAAATTATCTTTTTTTAAGCATTTATTTTAAAAGTTTACTATCTTTATTTCTTATTTAGTAATCTATACTTAAACGTTTTATAATTATTTAGTTTGTTAAGATTTAAAATATCTTCTTCATTACGAAGATTTAAAACAGTTTCTTCACTAATTGTAAGAAGATTTATAATAGCTTTCTTATATCATAATTAAAAACGAACCTCTAACCATTATTTTCTCTACCCAATATCTATTAAATATTACTTTATATACAATTACTTTCATTTTGCCACGATGAGTTCTTTTCAAAGTCCCCTAGTGTCAACACACAATTATTATTTCCATCCAATTAAATCAGAAAGAAGGTTCATAGTAGAACACGTTTGTTATTCAATCACCTTAATAATCATCTGACAGAAGAAAAGATCACGTGGACTCCTTTTTCCAATAACGAGTTAGCTGTCGTGAATTTCGTAATGTATCGTTTCGTTTTCCATTAATAAAATATCAGTCGCGTAATTGATCGCAACGACGAAACAGGTAATTCGAGAAGCATTATTCGTCGGGTTATTTGCGAAATTATATTCGCGGTGACCAATACCGATTGCTAGCCGTGATGGTCAGAGGCGAAATTTATTTTCCATTAAATTTTGCATTACAATGCAACGTCGATACGTACGCGGTGTACGTACGTATAATTGCTATGCAAATCGTTCTGTATTTCACAGGGAAACAACGGTGACACTGTTGACAAGAATCGCGATTATTTTTCCCCCTTGACAAAATGAAAACGAAGTTTTTTTACGAGGGAGAACAAAATTTTCCTGTGTCTACGAGGAAAAATGGTCGATGCTGATAATTTAGTTCTTTTTCGTATTTTTTTTAGGAACGAACATAACCTATAAAATCAATATAATCTTCAAAATTAAATGAAAAGAGAATTAGGATGACGTTCAGAAAATATTTTTAGGTATTAACAATTTTGTAGTAAAAGTATTAAATTGTTATTTGATGATGTAGAAATATTTTTAATCCTCGACAGCCATAATGGAGTTCTAGAAATTTTAAATGAAACTTTAAATCATTTTTTAATCACGAAAAATAGTAACATGTCACCTTAATTTTATCATTTATATTATTTACAAATAATATCCTTCATTTATGTAAAAATATATACGTACTTTTCATTTATAGTATTTAGAAATAATATTCTTCAATTTAAAAATAATATTTTTCATCTATTTTATTTTATATGAATATTTTCCAGCACGTATCACGAATTTCAGAAAAATTTAAAAACATTTTCATCTAAGAGTTGTAATAAAAATAATTTCTAAAAGAAATTTTACTTAAAATAATTTATTTCTATAAGATACTATTCCAGTTTTTAAGTTGATCAAATTATGAAGAGAATGTGCATAAATCATATTTGAATTTCCCGCGAATCTTGTATCTGCGCGCGCAGCGGACATGACGCGATTGAAGAGCGAACTTTTACTGCGTTTATTTTCAAGTATTATAATAATCTTACATTATTTATAGTTTTCATTATACGTATTTTAATCAGTTTAAAATGTACTGCGTAACTCGTATCTCAACCACAAATTAAAATTAATAGCATACGAAAAATGATATCATGTAAGGCGATATGAACATATTTATGAATAAGCAGCTATTACACGTAACTTTGCTGTGTTCAGATTGCAACAATGAAGACGACGGTCTTAAATTTACGATCATTAGAGCACATAATACTAGGTTGAATTATGAGGTCTGCGTGGAAATTCTGGAGCTTTCCTTAGCGTTCTAACGAGAACAAATAACAGGATCAATTTGTTATATAATGTCTGCCATTATTTGAAACTGTTTGCTACTCTTCATTACCATAATGCAATTAGCATCATAATGCATTCTATGATCTATTAAATTTCCTGTATTCTCGCTTTCAAATTTACTGTTCCATATAAGATGTTGCACGGAGAAATGCTAATTTAATTTTATCTGCAGGATTGTTCGGGAGAAATTAAAGACCAACTGCATTGTAGTCGAATTAGGTGGAATTAGTTATTTGGAACATTTTTTAGGTGACCTTTGACATATTTGATTCTCGATCAAGATTCTACAATTTTACAGAACTATTTGAAGAACATATGTTCGTTGATCAAGAATTTAATAATATAATATACTATGGTAATATAATATATATAACAATGTAAGAGTAGCTTAGTACTACTTAAGCAATATTTAGTATTGTAAATTTAATATTGTAACAGTGTAATATAATATGCCCAACAATATACATAGTAATATAATACCGTATGATAACCACTACAATTATATAATTAATGTATTAGTACAATGTAATGCTATACATAACAATGTAATGTAATGTACTTAGCAATATAATATACCTAACAATATAAGTATCTACCAATGTACTAATATACGTTACTCAACATACTTAACACCTGTAATTTATTTGTCAGATGCGTCAGTCAAAACTAACTGTCCGTATAATATTAAAATAAACAAAGAAAATTAAAAAGTGAGTATTTATATCGAGCGATCCTTAGCGAGATTAGAGTAGAACCTAAACTTGAAGAGTATTAAGAATTTAATTAAAATTGATCACATCTGAACTATAACTGTGTCAGACTCCTCCAATCAGTCCAACTTATCCAATCCAATCAGTTCATCCACTAACATAAAACAAATTCCCTTTCCCTAGAAGAAAGTGCTGCACCTATTATGTCGATGCTGAGTCAAACAATGTCACAAGTCCTCCCAAACGCTAACTTACGTTCAAACTGTTGCAGACTAAAAACCGAGATGTCAAAGCTCAAGACAGAGAAGGAGGCAATAACAAAACGGTTGCAAAAGCTGGAGACAGAAAGATCTGACATGGAGAAGATGTCGAAGGAAGCGGTAACGTCGGCGAGAAACGCTGAACAACAAACGATGACGCTCCGGAAGCAGCTTATTGACAAACAGCAAGAGGTCGAGATTCTACAACGCGAGAAGAACGTTCTGTCGCGTAACCAGGAGACTTTGGGGGACCAAATTAAGAGATTGAACCAGCAGATGGTTGTGAACGAGTACAGCAAGCGGAAAATCGAGCACGAATTGGACGATTCAGTGCGAGATGTCATTGAAGTGTCTAAGCAGCTGCATCTGGTTGAGAAGGAGAGGGACAAGCATAGTCAGACGATTAAGGACTTGGTGCAGCAGGTGAGTTTTCATTATTTCCAATGGAATTGTAATTTATGGGGAGTAGAAGTCGATATTGCAGCGTGACTATTGATGAAGGAGGTAGATTGTAAACTGAAATTGATTGCAACTTTTTGTTATTCGTGCTACCGTTAGTTGAGAGTAAATGTGCTTTCTTTGTGAAAGATGTTTTAGTTGTTGATATTTGGTGATGTGGAGATTTTGGGGTATTGGGCATTTGGGGATTTGGGAATTTGAGAATTAGGGATTTTGGGGATTTGGGAATTGAGGATGTTGGAATTGGCGGATGTGGG